GAGAGAGAGAGAGAGAGAGAGAGAGAGAGAGAGAGAGAGAGGGAGGGAGAGAGAGAAAGAGAGAGAAAGAGAGAGAAAGAAAGAGAGAACTTTGGTCACATTTTGAATGGTAAATTTGATCTAACTTAAAAATAGCAGACACTTTCTATTTTTCAACTAGACCGTACAATTCTAAATATGCTTCAAATAGGTCTTCTTGGGGTTCTTAGAGTATTTTGGATTTTTAGATGTAAATTAACAAGTAAACATCCTAAGTTAGTCAGGCCAGCTGATCTTAATACACACACACATACACACACACACACACACACACACACACACACACACACACACACACACACAGCAAATAGGTGAAATCCAGAAAGCTGTCTAACAATTAGGCAGGAGCTGTTTGTATGTGCAGTTGGGCTTTGTCATACTCTTGAAATTATTTTACATTAGTCATGTCAGCTGTTCACCTGCTGTAGTCTTTGGAACACAAAGAGAAGACACTCTCAGGAGCCCTGGCTTCTCAGGAGGAAGAAATTGGGGTGTCAGTACCATGATGCTCTGTCGCTGGGTAAGGGAAGGACCATACGAGGCCCCAAAGCACAGGAAGCAATCATTGGGTCTCCCTTTTACAATGCTGAGCCCAGGAAGGAAGAGTTAAACATTTGGAATGAGGGCCTGGGAAATTCAGAGAATTTCTCCATACTTTCCCCAGGCTAGGAAAAAAGGACAGATGATCCTCAGAAAGCCCGTGTCTAAGTGCAACTTGGCAGATTTCATCAATGGACTAAAAGCAAGATTATGGATCCATCCTTTTCTAAAAGATCCAGAAAATATTAGCAAAAGTAAAGAATCTCCACATCACTAAAACTTTCTGTTTATAAGAAGCTTATTGTTTCAAAAACTTTAATCAGATATTATCTCAGTTAATGTTATTTTAAAAATCTTGTTAAGCCAGTATTTAGGAGGCTCGGGGTAAACTGTAATATATACCACACTTAAACTTTGTTAGTTAAAAGGTAATATTAGGATGATCTATTTTCAGATCCATCAAGAGTTATGTCTGGCATCATTCCTGGCATTTAGATTTGCATAATATTTGCATTTGTCCCGACTGCTCATCAGTCATTCACAGCCATAGGACCCTAGCACAAACATTACGGAAGACTGGATTGCAGGAAGAATTCACCATGAAGCACCACAATGTATTGATGAAGTTGAAAAGAAGTATGATGCCACAGCTTAATGAAAGTCGAAAGTCAATTTGGCACGGGATGAAAATAATTACATCAGCAGTTATCCCCTCCACTGCCACCACACTTTGTGAATTGTGTCCATCTTCAGGAATGCAAACTGTAAAACAATAACAACTTCCAAGGAGCTGAAATAAGTTAGATTCTAGGACACTAGGTGGAAAGAGAGAAGAGATTTTTTTCTCTTCTATAATGCTTTTACACATACATTGTGTAACTCGAAATGAAATATAATGATAAAAAATACCAAATGATCATCCCTGACAAGTTATATGTGCAAGTAACATTATACAGACTGAGCAGGTTGTCTTTCTGTATTTAGGAATATGTATCATTTGTAATGTAGTACACACACACACACACACACACACACACACACACAATCACAACAGTAAATGGGAGAAGAGGCCATGCATTTTTTTTTTAAAGTAGTGGGTGTTATATGGGAGAATCTGGAAGGAGGAAAAGGATGGGGGAAAAAGATGTAATTCTATTATAAACTCAACAAAAACTTTGTACATGTTATTTTTGGAAATAAAGTAAAACACAGAAAAGGGAAAATTGTCCACCACTAGGCTAACATCTCTGTCCAGATTTTATTGTGTTTGTAGTTTTATTTATTTGTTTATTTATGTGTGTATGCGGGAGGGGTGTGGGTAAGTATGTGTGCCTACATGTATGGGGGTGTACCTGATGTGGCATGCGAGTGAAGGTCAGAGGTCAACTTACTCAAGCCAGTTCTCTCCTTCTACCAGGTGATTTCCATGGACAGAACTCAAGTCATCAGACTGGGTGGCAAGGGCCTTCACCCACTGAAACTTCTCACGGGCCCTACTGTACTTTATTAATTGGTTCTAAAGCAACGACTTCCAGGAGATACCTAAGACAACACAAGAGTTAAATACTTAAATAAGCACTTTTTTCCCCTTTTCTTGCTATAATCTATATTTTTCTGCTTTTCTTTCGCATGCCGATGACAAGCTTATTAACGTTGAGAACTGTACTTGGTCCGAGGTAATTCTGTGGCCCCCGGGCAAGGAACTTAGGTTTTCAGTGACTCTTCTAACCTTGCTTTCCTCTCGCCTGTGTTCCTCTGCATGCCTCTTCCCCCGTTCGCCAACCTCTATTCTTCTCTGTTTCAGCAAAACAATTGCAGTCAAGGTAATTGATGATGAGGAGTATGAGAAAAACAAGACCTTCTTCATTGAGATTGGAGAGCCCCGCCTGGTGGAGATGAGTGAGAAGAAAGGTGGGGAAGCCGCTCCAGGGCGGACTCCGACAGCTTCTGCCGGCCTGCGCCTCCCTGGACGCCTGCATTCCTCAGAACATGACTTAACAATGCACACATGCCTCCACTATGTAACAGGGCACAGCTCTCTCCCTGGCAGCAGCGAGCCAGATCTGCCGCCCCATCAGCCAGTCCCGGCCACCGCCGTGCACCACGCGGGTCCGAAAGTTAATTTGGGGCACACTCGATCAAGCCCCCAGAGCTGGGGGAATTGGCACCGAGAGTACCCGATCTCCAAATTCTAAGCCAGCTCTCTGAATCGCGGAAGCAGCCACCAGATTTACGCAAGCGTTCCATTAACACAGATTTCCCGGGTGGAGACCAGGGAAGAGCACCCAAGATGCCCTTTTACATAGGCCTGGAGGTCATGTGCTGCCGGTTTCTCCCTCCGTTAACATCACAATAACATCGGCTTGGTGGACATCTAGAGCATGAGCCTGTGACTCCAACCATTCGTTTTGCCTTTGTCTTGTGTCCCCACAGGAAGATCATTACCATTAGAATATTTGATCGTGAGGAATATGAGAAAGAGTGCAGTTTCTCCCTTGTGCTTGAGGAACCAAAATGGATGAGAAGAGGCACGAAAGGTGTGGGAGTATTCAAAGGCATACCAGCGAGAGATTGTACTCTTCCCCCCCTCTCCGTGTCTCCCTACTCTCACACTGAACTCTCTCTCCTCTTCCTCGGCTTCGAGTACTAAACTCCATTGCCTTTGAAGCTTAGCGGGTCCATTTTCCTTCCCCAATGAGTTCACCAAGCGATTCCCGTTTTCTTTGGGAAGGGCTGACTAACCCGGATTGCAACCAGATTTGCTAAATATTAAGAAATACTGGAAGAATTTCTGTAATTCAGAAATGAGGAGATAAGTGAACATGCTCTCTCTACCTTTCACTGCTCCAAAACCACTTAAAATGTGGCTATAAAGGTTCACTCCCTCCCTTAAAGTACTAGTGATAAAACCCAACATATCTTGTCTGAAAGATAAAGGAAAAGAAAACCCACCTAAAAGTTCATGGTAGATGAAGAGTACAAGGATCTAATAGCAATTTATAAGAAAATTCAGTAATCAGGCTTCTTAGAGAATCTGGTTTGAGAAGATTTTGTTTTGTTTTGTTGTCTTTTCATTTTTTGAGACAAGGTCTCATGTAGCTGAGGATGACCCAAAACTCCTGATCCTCCTAGCTCTACTTCCAAAGTACTGAGAGGTGTGTGCCAATCTGTCCAGCCCCAGCTTCTAAGAAAGCAATTAATAGGAACAAGGTGTCTAAAGACTCACCCTGTCAATAAGCTAATTTACTTATTTTGGTATGGTGTTTTCCGTATCATCAAATACATCGTTTAGAAGAAGCCATGAAACTCGACATGATGGCACATGCCTGGGATTCAAGTACTTGGGAGATCGAAGGGGAAGGGTTGAGAGTTCAAGGGCAGCCTGAACTACATAGCAAGAGCCTATCTCATTAATAACAATAATAATAATAATAACAATAATAGTAAAACTCTAACAAACAAGGTACCATACATATGAAACCACAGTCATATGTATGAGGTCCGTTTTCAGTAGCTAAAGGATGTGGCCCCTTGTCAACATTTAACCCTGACTTACACTAATCCTACCCATGATCCAAAATCTTTTGATACTTATAGAATTAATATGATTTTAATATGAATAGTAACAAGACAAATTGTGCAGTGCTATCATTATACCTAGATTTTTTTAAATGACACTTTTGTTAGTTTTTTGAGAATTTCATAATTAGGTTTTGTTTTTTTCTCACAGTTTTAGAAAACATTTGCAAATGGGAGCCCATCCTGTTCCCTGACTCTTCCCTCCTTTATAAGAGATGCTGTTTCACAAGACAGAAGGAGAATTTTACTGAAATTTTCAAATGGAGGGCAAGAGATGCAATATATATGACCAGTTCCTATGCAGGCTTGGCATTTGGGGAAATACAATCTCACTTTCTGAGAACTCGCTGACCTCAGAGCCCATCAGGGAAAATTATTTTTTCCTAATGTCCCTGACTGAAGTACAGAATGGCAGCAGGGGTGTTGGAGAAAGGGACACTTGGGACTCATTTCAATGCAGCTCGTTTAATAAGTCCCACAGTCAGTAAACAGAAGAGAGACTTCAAAAAAGTACGTCTTACAAAGATGGGATCACAGGCACCTCATTGGCACCCAGGAAAGAAGCGTTTAGAGCTGGATGTGTTCCTCCATAGAACTGTCTTTTATCTCCAGGAGGAGTGTCTTGGATTCAGCTCTTCCGATTGTCATTTTAGTAAAAATATGCCCTCATATAGAAGCAAATTAAAATTCCTTGATGGTGCTATCCTGTGTTGTACAAGCCAAATGAGTTCTTCTCAGTATAAATAAACTTATTGACTCATTTTCCTAGGTTCCTTCTGATTCCACTACCATGATACAGGGAAAACCAGGCTGAAAACAAGCACTTGTAATATTCCTGTGACAACCCAGGAGGTCTTTAATTGGACTTGCTTAGCAAGTTAACTTTTATTCAAATACAGTGTTATGGTGCCAACTGTATTTAAAGAACATAATCTAAAAAGCTACGTTGTATCTTGGCCCCCATTCTAACCCTGTCCGTTTCTCTGGAGTTACACATCCACTAGAAAACATTCTGGTCCACTTATTAATGTGTAGAAGTTACTGATAAAGACAACACAAATAAATGTCCATTTAGAGCCTCTTAAAATTTGAGACTTTAAAAAGCATAAACAATTTTGAAGGAGTCAAAATATCTTCCAAATAAAATATGCAGAGAGAGCTTCACCTGAGTAAAAATCTCCTTCCAGGAAGGCAGGCTAATGGATTTTTTTTTTCTGGGGATTTTTACCTGTTCTTGTGGAAGGCAGCTGAGGCCTTGAGTCATTTAAGACTTCCAAACATCAGCTCTCAGGCAACATTTATTGAAAGAAGCCCACCCCCAAACCGAGTTCAAGATTACCTTCTCCAACATCCACAGTAGATTTTGTACGCACTATCTGTCAACAGCTGTAGGAGAAATATGAGATACATAGAGATGACACTATAAGATGATTTTTTTTTCAATCTCACCGAAATATTCCTGTTGGGATCATTTATTTGGAAATGTCCCCCACAATGCATTCCCTTGGGACGGACAAAATTTTTTTAATGAGCAATGGTTTCCCTGCGCTAGTCAGAACTGCCTAGATTTCTTTCTGCTAATATTCCTCTCATTATTCATGTGGTCTCTTATTCTGTGTTTGTCTCTGTCTGTTTCCTTCACAGCCCTGTTATTGAATGAGCTTGGTAAGCATTTCATTTCTTGCATTTCCTTCCCATTTTTATAGGTTATTTTCCACTTCTCTGAGATAATACCCTAACTCTTGGTTTTTATCTCTGTCTATGGATGGGCCAGATTTTCATTTCAGGCTAGTGGCCTCATTTTAGTCGAGGCCAGATCAACCGTATCACATTTCTTAATCTGGTATATATAAACTTAAAAGGGCCAAGACTACAAGAACTACGATTGGCATTTGGGGAAATACAATCTCACATTCTGAGAACTTGCTGACCTCGGAACCCATCTAAAAAAAAAATATTTTTTCCTAATGCCCCTGAATTAAGTATAGAATGGCAGCAGGGGAGATGGAGAAAGGGACGCTTGGGACTCATTTCAATGCAGCTTGTTTAATAAGTCCCACGGTCAGTAAACAGAAGAGAGACTTCAAAAAAGTACGTCTTACAAAGATGGGATCACAGGCGCCTCATTGGCACCCGGGAAAGAAGCGTTTAGTATCTACAATAACTATGATTGTGTACTAAATTGCATGATCCTAAAAGAATGTGTTCAGCTATGACTGGACTTTTCAAATCCTTCTTAATCATAAATCTGGCAAGTTTTCATAACTCCAGTGGGTCATCGAGCATATGATATCACTAGCACTTGTTATTTGTCATGTAAATTAAATTTTGACATTTCTTTTCTGTTTTTCTTTCTTTTTTAGGTGGCTTTACACTATCAGGTATGAACTTTTCAAGTCTAATACTATCTAATTATATTTATACTGTCACTGTCAATATATTACATTGTTAAAAATAAATGTTTTCTCTTGTTTTATTTCTTTTTACTTAAGGAAAATACCATTCTGGTAAGATAATGCCTTTTAAAAGTTCCTATTTTTGCCCAAGTAGCCTAAATACCAAACCAAATATAACCTGAATTAATGCTAAACTGTGGCCCAACTCTCCTCTAGTTGATTTTACGCATTAACATTTTTACACATTAACATTTTCACGAATTAACAACAGCCTGTGTGTGTTGTATTTATTTGTAAGAAAGCTCTCAGGGAGAGCCTCTAACTGTTCGTATTTTGACACTAATCTACAGGTGTCCACAGAGCACCGAGAATTTGCAGTGTACACTGATAGACTTTGCACAGGGCTCCAGAGTAAGACAAGCTTGCTGGTCTCGGATGGTGGACATGAGACCCACACAAACTTCACAGCAGAGGATCATCAGGATCATAAAAGTAGATAAGGCCACATTAGAAGAGGATAACAATCTAAACCCTTCTTTGGGCACTTTGCTTTAGTGCTAATAGCATGGTGACAAGAACTATTTCTGCTACTTGAGATGCATTACAAAACCCTACGTAAGCATTCAAGATCCTAATGAGAAAGCTTGAAACCCTTACTTTCAAAATTCTACCATCTCTAGAGATAGTTACTTGTGCACAGGTGGAAATCATTCCTAATTGCAGCATCTTTTGGTTCTACATACCTTCTCATGTTTTCAGACTCATTTCTGCAGAGTTAGAGAGGAGGGTGGCTATCCCACAACGGCTCTAACTTGTCTGAAGTTGCAGGTTGAAAAGGTCTCTAGGGACCCACTTCTTCGATGGCCTTTTGCAAATACCAAAAATTTCCAATAGATCATGCAAATACTAAATCAGAGTGCTAGAAAAATATTTAGAAGGAAATACTACCAAAATTTCTAGTAAATTAAAACACTGTAATAGGCACGGGGTGGGGGGGGGGGGCGTGATCTCAACCACTGTTAGTATGAACTCATGGACAGTGGGTACCAAAGTGATTCTGCCCAGAGTGGAATTTTCAAACTATGGTAGTTCTCTATGGATGGCTGCTCCCAGCTCATCTCTAGACCCAGCAGTAAATGATAGAATGACTGGTAGATTCTCAGAGACATAGAAATTAGAAAAACATAAAATTGGTAAGCAGAGTAGTCTTCTTACAGAAATCCCTGAATCTCAATCAGCTGAGCCTCTCCCAAGTCAGATTTTCTGAATTCTGCCCTCCAGGACTTGTCCTTGTCCATGCATCTATATATATATATATATATATATATATATATATATATATAATTTATTATATATTTAAGATATATATATCTTTTAAAATTATCTCCTTTTTTCCACTTGCAACATTTGAGATCACTGATATCATCTTGGAAATACTCTGATTCTGTCCAGAGGAACAGCTCCCCATGAGAGAGTTGAAGATGGTAGAAATTTGGCCTCTCAACCTTCACGGCTTTGTGGATTATTTTTCTAAAGTCAACCATAGTCTCGGGAAATAGCATACTGTACAGCCATCCCTTACTTTCTATGCAGGCTTGCATTCTGTGCAAACTTTACACAGTGTCAGTCCAGAGTACCTTATTAAGAGTGCATCTATGTCTTTGGCTACCCTGCGTCACATGTGTGAGGATTCCATTTCTAAGGCTTTTTTTCCATGCCATTTGAACCGTCCTCCCTTTTATTATCTCAGTTAGTAGAACCCTCATTTTCTTTTCTTATAAGTCCTTTCCATAAAGTTTCCCATATCCCTCATATCAGCATTTCCTGCCTTGGCCATATCGTGCATCCAACATGATACAGAAAGCTTCTACATTATGAGTAGTTCACTGGGTCCTCCCTATGGCCAAAACTTTAACCAAAATTGGATGTCTCTCCATTGTTGACGTCTCCCAAAATAGGCGCCAATGCAGTTAGAATGGGAGACTATTCCAGAACTCCTTCTGGAAATTTCTACATTGGCCTAATTGTTACTTACCTGGATACTGTCTAACTTCATATCCACCTTCTCCCATAAAACCAGAAATCCCGGGGTTCAGTTGCCACTGATGCCTCTAAGAAACTTCTGCAACTTAGGTCTGTACAGTGAACAGCAGCATAAAGCTTAAAGAGTTCTCTTTGAAGTAACGTTGAGGCTTTGAAGTCAAGGCTTTGAGGTACAAGGAAGAAGAGGAGAATTAATGTAGCCTTTGGACTTAGCCTGCAGGTGTTACATGGACTTGCACCGATGAGTATGGGTGTGGAATTGGGAAACAGTATATATGGAAACTTTAAAAAAAATCCATTTGGTCCACAGCCTCACACCAATAATTTAGAGACCTAGTTAGTAATAGACATTGAATGCTGGAGGTGCCTTTGAAATTTGCAAGTCTTCACCTGCTGTTCCAGCCCTGGTCTCACTGTGTTTAAATCTATGATGTCATTCCCCTCTGACCTTATGGTTTTATGATAACATTATAACTCATTAGAGTTTATAATGAAATATTATTTTGTCACCATTCTTTTGGACTTTATTGTGCACACTTACAGGAAGTAAAAAAAAAAAAGTTTCAAAAAGATTAATCCACCCCAAACCACTCAATCCAAAAGCCCTTTGATGATTATCCTAACACTAACCCTGTCCTTTGGCTGGTCCAATTGTGTGAACCATTTCCTCCTCCCTTCATTTTTACATTATACATTGAACCCTTTATCAGTCTAAAGCACAACTGTAGCTTATAAAAAGCCATCATTAGGAATGTTAGTCAAGGGAAATTCCCAAAAGGGAAAATTAGATTACACCAATAATGATACTTTTAAATCAAATTCAGACTCCTGGCTAAATCTGTGTATTTGTTTCCCCGAAAACTTCCAAGACATGCATCTATCTATAGCTCTCCCTCAAATTACATGACACTCAATGTTTTTCTTGAACATTGCTCTTCTAATCACTTTGCAGTCTTGTAACAGACTTAAGATGCATGTCTATGCAAATGGGCCAAACTTTGAGAATCCTGACACTTGGGAACATGTCCACCACCCCAATGTATGGGTTAGAGGAGCAAAGCCCCTCCATCAAAGTTTGCCTCATTTGACAACTGAGAAAAATGCGTGACTCCACGGGGCGAAATGTCTTGCCCACATTTAAATGGCCCTGAGTCCAAGTCTCAAGATTCTCAGTTTAATTCTCGGTAGATCTTTGTAGACAAAATTAGTGGGTGGACCTGGCAACCAGCTGAAGGAAAAGTTCAATGAAATCCTTAGGCCTGGTTAGTGGAAACTGCTGGGTGATAATGACTTGCCCTTAGTCCACGGAAGCATATATGACACTTTCCAGTCTGCACAGGAAATGGATGTCGTGAGCACCTTCACAGGGTTATCTACTCCCTCTCCTTCAAAGAAACCCGTGACATGAATGGAGTAGATGCTGCCTGCATTTGTTATGTGGGCAAACAGAAACGATAGCCTACTGGGGGCTGTGTAGATGCCACTAATAGGCTTCAAAAATTAGAATGCAAGTCATTACACCAAGCACTTTCTATTGTTTTATGATACCTCTGGAATCAGTAATTGAAGGACCTGGCTCATCCATTTCAATTGCTACACTGGGTCTACCTCTTACCGCAAAGAAAGAGGTCCATTATCTCATCCATCAAACTTAATCAAGCATGATTTGGTTTGGCTTCTGGAACATTTGCCCCCATTGGTGAGTGGTAATCTCTGTGAGTAACCACCAGAATTCCTCCTGGTGGCCTCCAGGGGATGACCTGTAACTGCCCCCACTAACATGGCTTACAGTGTGTGTGCATCTGGGTTATTGTTTTTAGCTTACTAATTTCAAAAGGCACTGATAGCGAAGCAATGTGATCCATCCTGCTGATTTTCTGCCTGTCCTTTTGCTAGGCCAACCTCTCTTCAGGAAGGTTCATGCTAGAGATCATCCGCTTCCCTCCACTGTAATCAGCTTTTCAGGTACTCGTTTCCCTGTGGTCCTTGAAAAACCACAGCTTTCAGGTATACTCTTTATAAGATTTATAGATGTCAGTCCCTGGGCCTTCTAAAGTATTGCTGATTAATGAGTGACTTCTCTGACAGCTGGGATACCTTGAATGATCAAAAACTGAAGACAGTATATAAAAAAACTGAAGATAATATGGACCTACAAAGAGGTTGACCCAAAGCCTTCTTTCTTTCAGATTTCAATGTTTCAGCTTTCTTCCTAATACCTCTTTTACATTTAAGGTTTTTGCTAAGTGTAATGAAAATTCTTAAAAAATAAAAGTAAAACCAAAACAGGTTGTGTTTCCCACCAGAATGTGCCTTTCCTGGTGTACAAGGAAACACAGGAATGTTGGCAGGGCAACCTAAGGGTCACACAGCTCTTCCAGTTCTCCTGCGGCTTGACAGCTTTCTAGTCATCTCCTAGCACAGAGTCTGCAGCTGAGGACAGCAGTCCCTCCTCCTCCAGGCATTACTGCTGGCCTGTCACTGACCTTGGTGGGAGAAATACCTCTACCTGACCCTGTGGGTCCGCCCCACCCTCAAAAACCATACCTCCACCCAACAAGCACAATTCTAATATCTCAGGATATTCCTCAAGAGACGAAAAATAGCAATCTTCCTGGGTTCTAATCAGAGAGGCCAGCAGGAGCTGAAACGCTGTCAAGTGGCCTACGTTTTCAGGCGTGTCTGTATAGTTCTGAACAAGTGTCAGAATGATCCTGAGAAGATTTTCCCGTCACTGGCCTTTCCCCCACTTTCAGTGTTCTATGTTGGTTTTTGGGATTAAAACAAAACAACAACAATAAAAAAGAAAACTATGACATTGGCTCCTTGTGTAGAGACTTCTCTGTATTGAACTAGCCATGTGGGTGATAGTGTCCTCTTAAAGGAATATCCCACTCTCACCCCTTCATTACCACGATGCTGTTTCAAGATCCAGCTTCAACCAGGAAGCATTGAAAACAGCTTTACATAGTCCATCTGTTTCTAGGACTCAGATACCTAAAGCTAATGATTTTATTGTTGTTTATAAAAGTCGACCACTAAAGAACGAAAACCCCAACTCTGATGATTTTATCTCAGGGATTCCCTGTGTTCTCTCAACACTGGCTTGTAGCCATGGTTGCTGATAAGGCACAGGATCTCCAAGTTGTTTTGATGGGTCAAGATTGTGACATTGTATATAGAATAGATAGATAGATAGATAGATAGATAGATAGATAGATAGATAGATAGATAGATAGATAGATGATAGATTGATAGATTGATTGAGATAGATAGATGATTGATTGATAGATAGATAAATAGATAGATAGATAGATAGACAGACAGACAGACAGACAGATAGATAGATAGATAGATAGAGATAGAATATATATAAAATATACAATGTCACAGACTGGTGAGCTTTATAAGGATAGATAGATAGATAGATAGATAGATAGATAGATAGATAGATAGATAGATAGATAGATAGGCAGGCCCAGAGTAGCACACAGAGAGAATTAATGTCCTCTAAGAAATAACACCAAAACTCCATCATGTTGTCACCCTGCATACATAAGGAAATAAAGTGACCTAGGCTACAATAAAATAATCTGCTTTTGATCTGTTTGTTCAAAGAGAAAAAGAAGCAAGTATAGTAATTGATCCTGAAAAATGCTGTTAAACCATTTCCCTGTTTAATAAAAGGCACACCTAAGGAGAACACTAAGACAAACAAAAAAAACCCTCAACTCTCTTCTTTGCCACCATCACACCATCAAAACCCTACATTGTAACCACTCATATATCAGTACTGTTGTAGATCAGCCACACGATTTTTCCACATGTCACTTCTCAATTACACATAACTGTAACCGTCTCTTAGATGTACATATTACTCATCAAATGAAAATAGCCCTGACCTTTCCATGATGCTGTGCCCATCCCTGAACTATGACCACTCATCTCTACACCTCCTAGTCATCCTTACCATCATAGCCACCTGGCAAGCTCTCTACCTGCTTCCAAGATAGCTGCCAATAGATCCCCTGTCCTGATGCTTTCCATGCCTCCTGTAGGCAAAAATGTTCTCCCAGAAGACTCAGTCACTGCCACACTGATTCTAGTTTTTCATTCATGTGTCTCTTTTTCCACTACACCAGAAGTTTCTGGAAGATAGTTGGAGAAAGAGGAGGACTGTGTCTGTGCTGACATATTCTAAGAGGACATACCATGTGTTTAAATAATGGATGGTCCTTTTATTTTAAAAAAATGAACAGATGAAAAATATTACTAATGGTAACTTGAAGAATCTCAAAGCGAATAGTTGAGTAAGTTTTCTGCATTCCATACATTATACTAGGCACGAGTAAAGACAGTCCAAAGAGTGCTGAGGCATATCCTAGTTCTGTAAGTCAACAGACTAGGTATTTGTATGTAAAGATAATTTAAAATAATCCCGAAGCCACACGAAGCTGTTCATGTTCGGCACACAATAAATACTAAGGAGTTGAATGATATTAACTAAATCCCAGTTGTCAGTTGGTGAACTAATGGAAGAAGGGCCTTAAGTATATATAACTAAATGAAGGTGTAGGAGCATTTCTTGGTGATTGCATGATGGGTAAGCCTGTGCTTTGGAGTAAGTGCAGTAAGATGTAGAAACAAGGTCCCTAGCCTTTCTTTATGTGAATATCAAATCTGTTAAGATGAGATATCCACACTTCAGCTTCTTATGAGATTTTTGTTAAGGTTGAATATTAATCAGATTATAATTTACATGCTGCGATTTTTTTCTAAATTATCTTGTCTTTTACTTAATTAAAAGAAAAACTAGTAAGATTTTGCCATAAGTAGAACATAAGGTAACATTTGTTTTTTACAGTGAAAAGAATGGCACTGAATTCTGGCTAGTCAAAGATTCTGTGCCTGTAAACTACTTTATCTTAAATGAAAGAAAGCCAAATGCTAGAGCTGTGCGGTGGTGGTGCATGCCTTTAATCCCAGCACTCAGGAGGCAGAGGCAGGCGGATCTGATCTCTGTGAGTTCGAGGCCAAGCCTGGTCTACAAAGCGAGTTCCAGGAAAGGCGAAAAGCTACACAGAGAAACCCTGTCTCGAAAAACCAAAAAAGAAAAAAGAAAGAAAGGAAAGAAAAGAAAAAAGAAAAAGAAAAAAAAAGGCAAATGTTAAGAAGCAGTTATGGACCCAGGTCCATCAAACACACACTTATTGTTGACCAGAAAGCCTGAAGGATTCCTGGGGGCACCTTTTCACCCATAGGATGATTCTATTTCATTTGCTGCCATGTCCATGTATTTGACATCATGTTCTGGATCCGTTTCATTCTGTGAGATGCTTTCCTGAACAATCCCAGGACATTACATTTCCTCCCTAACTGCTATGTTATTTTCTACCTAAATTACCTTGAGTCCCATTCAAAACAACTTATCGTTTGTAAGTAAATCACAGAAATGATGGCCCCAATAAATATTCTCCCACACTTTGCATTTCAAATAGGTACCTAAGTGGCAATATCTCTCATGAGGGAAGTCATTATTATTCAGTGTTTGTCAGAGATTTGGACAAAGACACAAATAAAGTCAACCTGAACTACCAGTGACATTGTCATTGGCCCAAAGATCAGAAAGCAGTGAGAACCAAACTAGAATTGTTTTGAACACTAGGCAAAGGGACTTCACACATGTCTACCCACCCCCTTGACTAGAACACACGGATTTCAGAAAGGACAGTCTTGGAGACTCTAACTAACCCGTGCCTCTCCCTGATTTATAATTTCCCAGTCCTTATATAAGATCCCTTACCACTCTTACAGTTAAAATTAATCCCCTCTTCTCTCTGCTTTGCCTTTGCTCATGTTCCACAGCTTCTCAGCAGGCCAAATAACCCATTGTCATTTTCCTTTGATTTGGTGGTATTGTAGACCACTAGGGACTTAAAATACATTATTTTAGAGTATGTTATTAAATGCACGCTCAAGACTATGTCAGCAGCTACATTCTGCTTCTGCCTTCCATTACTCCTGACACATGAAATCTAAGGCACTAGCCATGCTTCCAACACCTCGATCCCACCTCTATCCTCCGACCCTACTCCTCACAGTAGCCTGTTAGCCAAAAATAAAAAATAAAAAAATAAAAATAAAAAAAAAATTTTAAAAAAAGCCCTTAAAACAATTGCTAGATCAATAATTAGAACCAACTACAGCAGGGTCCCAGAGCAGAGGGGAACCTACTCTGTGTAGGAAATAGAAGGTACAAACCCCTGCTAAAGCTTCTATCAGTCTAAATGCAAAAGGCAGGTCAGGCAGCCTGAACAAAAAGGTCAGCCCTTCCCAGTCTGGATGACTCAGACAGCAGACTCCACTTACAGGCAATTGCCCAGATGTCCTGGAGGTGAGGGCCTCTGAGTGGAGGTTTTTCCATAGCAACATCACTGCCTCCCTGGATATGAGCGCTTCGCTTGCCCCTGAGGAAGTAGCCTATCATTTCCCAGCATCCTGGACCTGAAGGACAAGGGTGATTACAGGACAAGCGTTTGCCCTCCGCATAGGCTTGGCCTTTTCAGTCTGGGATTTATCCCAATGACCTCTATGCAGAGAGAGACAACTCTGAGCTCCTCCTCATGGATAGACTTTTCTGAGCACCCTCCATTCCACCCCACCCCCACCCCCACCTCTCCTAGAATGAGAGCCACTTGGTGGTTCTGGAAGTAATCATGCTCACATAGTGAATATTAGCTCCCCAAAGGCCTCACCCTCGCCCTCTCTGTTTGTTTTAAGATTAACATGGTCAAGGCTTTCCTAATACATTCTGCCTTTGCACCAGACTGGACGCACTGGGGCCCAGCCATCTCAAAGAAACATAAAATGGATGTTTAGGAGCTGAACCTGCGAGAGGGACTCTTGGCGAGTGTAAAGCTGAGATCAGAATTTCCCTCCCTTGACTCTTTGGCCCTGAGGCATTTTCTGACGCCTCTAGAAAGTGGAAAGGAAAAGACCGAACTCTCACACCCCTCAGGGTTACTTTAGGACTTTTAATTGCGGTTCCCTTTGGTCACGTGCTGGAAAAAAAAAAAAAAAAAAGTGTGCAGACCGCCAAACTGGCTAGCTTCACCGAGAACAGCTGGGTGATTCCTTCAGCCCAGACAATGTGCAGCAGGGTCTTTCTCAGTGACGTGCCCTGATGCACGTGGCTTTTCCCGATCAGTGCTTTTCACATGACGCGAGGCCGTACTAGATTTCAATCATCGGCGGCTTCAGTGTGGCGTGTGGCGGCATTGCCCTGCCGGACCAAGCTCTGTCCGCTCCTCCCCTCAGCCTCACTGTCTCACCTGAGAGACTCTGAGTCGGTCCTTAGGGCACCCTTCCCCCCTGCTTTGTCTTATAGGAGGATCCTGGGACTTGCAAAGGTAAAGGAGCACATTGTTCATACTGTTGCCTTCCCTTTCTCAGACGAATATGACGACAAGCAGCCGCTGACTAGCAAAGAGGAAGAGGAGAGGCGCATTGCCGAAATGGGGCGCCCCATCCTGGGAGAGCACACCAGGCTGGAGGTGATCATTGAAGAGTCTTACGAATTCAAGGTACGTCTGTCAACACCGCCGGCCAGCCCCATCCGCTTGCTCAAGGTGGTTCGGTGTGGTCTGTGCTGGCAAGAGCCTTCTGGAGACACTGGAAAAAATGTGATTTCACGTACAGGCTGATTCACTAAAAGGCTGTCAGATCCAATTTGAAACTGGGGAGTTAGCAGATAACCAAGAAATCCTGCACAGTAAACAGCATCAGAGCCAGGGTCCAGTAGGTGACAGGCAGCGAGTGTGACAGAGTCAGAACTGCCCCCTTTGAAGGAAGGGCTTTGTCCGAAAGGAGACTACAAAAGTAGATCTTCAGTGATTGGCTAGAAAAACCTGATGAATGTATCAGAAGCCAAGCATTTGCTGTGCGGACATTCAAAGGCTATCGTTTTGCAGAAACGGTCACTTCTATCTAAGCTACTCAGACCTGAGAACTCTTTAGCACTGCCTACCAAAAATGCAGTGTCTGCAACTGTACAGTTTATTCATGAGCTGATGAGATTGGATTCTCTAGTTCAGTGTGTGTGTGTGTGTGTGTGTGTGTGTGTGTGTGTGTGTGTGTGTGTGTGTTACTCGGTATTGAACCCGGGGACTCACATATGTCAGGCAAAGCACCGCCCCACTAAGTTACATCCTCAGCCCAAGTTGAAAATTTCCCGTGAAATGGAAGTCATGCCTTTAAAAGTTAAATATACATACGGGGATGAGCTTCAGACTTGAGGATGAAACTTCCTGTCTGCCCCTCCTAACCCACTGCTCTGGCTCTGCTCCAGTCCTCTGTGCCCACCCCAAGCCCCACACATAGCTCTTCTCACCCAGATCCTTAGTGTCTCAGAACACTTGAGGTGGAGCCAACTTCGGCTGGATAACAGGGATAAGGAAGAGCCTATGCATCTCTTCCTGTAACGTCCAAAGTTACAAACCCAGAAGAAAACAATGCTTTCTTGACTTATTTTTCAAAGGGACATGGTGCCTACTCAAACAATCAAAGCGGGGGGGAAAAAAGCAAACTAGAGAGCCAGGCTAATATAGGAGCCTCAGAATTCTACATGGTTCTTCAGTAATAATTGCCTCTTTTCCTTTTGTTGATTCCGTAAATTTAATCCCCAAATTGACCTGCCTGATAGGTAGCAAGTAAAAAGGTGTTTTTGCAACTAAAATGGAATTTTTTAAAGATAAAAATACACTTAAACCTCCTTCTGGCCGCTAAAAATCTATCAGTCTATTAGTGGGTTTTTTTGCACTCACACCCATAGGAAGAGGGGTAAACAGTGGAATGAGGATTACAAGACTGATCCCACTCTCGGGGTCCAGCATGGCATAGCCTTGAGCCTGGCTCACAGAGCACAGGAAGGGAGCTGCAGAAGTTCATGCAACCTCCCATGAACCTCAGCCTGCCGGTAGCTACAGCCCACTCTGTCACTCAGTGTCCCTGTGCATCCTGCTTCCCTTCCTCCTGCGGCTTTTCTGCAGTGGGGACTCTAGGGTTCTGTGTCACCTGCCACAGCAGGGCACTGCCGTTTCTGGAGCTAATTCACTCCCACACTTCTTAGAGAGAATGTGTCCTCTCTACCACAGAGGACAGGACACCCAGGCTTGCCCTCCCATGCACCAGCCATGGACAGAGCAATGGTAGCAGCTCCTTTAGAAAGTACTGGGTTAGATAACTCTTCCCAGAGAGAAGAAAAAAATCTTGGATTAGACAGAGCCCTCTCTGGTCGGCTGCCACAGTCTAGAATTGTAACACCTCCCTGGTCTCTAGTTCTTTATGTCAGTCCACTTGTATGAGTTGTTGTTTCTAGCATCACTTTGAAGCGTGTCTTCAGGTTTACAAGCACAGTCATTGTTAACCTTAACGCCTACAGGGCATCTTAGGGGGACACTTCTCATGTGCAGTAATACCACCTTTGACTTCCTTCATTTAGGGATTGTGTTTTTCTAGAATGTGACTTGAGAGCTTGTTCAAAGCTCTAGAACAGCATGGGCTAGACTGCATGTCCCCCATCCCCCACCCCCGACTTCTCACCTGCCATGCTGAGACGATGGTTTTACTAATGCCCACTGTCAAGGGTGAGGTGTTCATAACGTCTTGAATGTCACTGACAGTTTAAGAACTCTCCAAGTCAATATAGAGAGTGTCGTCCAAACTTCAGTCCATCGTGATTCACTCTCCTTAAATCACATACATGAAGGAACCAAACCACACAGGTACAACTTCAACCCTTGGAAAAATTTTGACTCTGCCCTATGGTTAAAATTTACTACATTTTAATATATACCTGGGTTCTTCCACATCAATAAAGGTTGAGTTTAGTTTCTCTTAAAAGTCTAATCTTTAGCCAGCCGTCATTTCATGGGGGAAGTCTGTGTTCAGCTGATGGAGCACTATTCAGCTGCTTATCTCTCGGATGAGTGGATGCTCCAGTTGCGGCACAGTGTGTTCTATCCCTTTAGAGAGACACGCTCCAAGTTTCCACTACATGGAGGAAAAACTGAGGTCATTTCTTCTTACATTCCACACAGCAAGATGCATAGAATACTAGATAAGATTGTGGCTAAGCTGGGAGACAAAAGACAGATGCCTGTCGTGTGTTTCAGTTCATTGTGTCCAAGACCAGTGACTGCTAGAGCTGTTATCAGGGGCACAAGCAGTTCTGGATACGAGGCAAGAAGCTGAGAGGTCACCCCCCCCCCCACCGGACATACTAGCTGACCAAGAATAAGGTTGCAGATACAGCGTGAGTTGGTTGGCGATGGATCCTCACATTTCTTTTCTCCTCAATGTCTCAAGTCAGTTCCAATGACTCGTTCTGAACTAACATCCTTGATATTATAAATTGGCTTTGGCCTCTCATACAACCCCCCAGATCCTATTTTCCTGACTCCTGCGCAGGCAATTATTGTTAGCTCTCGGTACCCTGCATTGAACATGTACAAGTCATTACCTAAGGCAAATAATGTGTGTTTTCTGCCTCTTTGCGGTTAGTGGAAATTCGAGGATGCTCTGACCGTAAGTGTGGGCGTTTGCTAGACTAGTTGGTGCAGTAGTTTCTCTGGGAGGAGCAGCCTCGGTGTCCTGGAAATGTCCCTTGTCCCTGTAGTTGTCGTGACTTGTGGTAGCGCTTTGACTGTACGGCTTACTTAGTTTTCTTGTGACCGCTTGGCAAGTCCTGTTGTTTTTATGAACCAAATTTAGAAAGCTGGAGAGTGCTCATTGCACAAAACTAATTGCCTAATAAGCTCCAAAGTAGAAGAAGGGGGCAGGCACCTCAATGCTATTAGAGCATGCAAATGGGATGCAAGGTTATTAGCACTGTGCCCTAAGCCACAGGTGTTGACTTTTGCTTGTCTACAGTGTTCCTGATGCAGGAGAGTAAGAATAGAATTGCCTGAACGTTAGCAAGCTGAAAAATCTAGTGACCTCTCTGCAACCGCCCCACCCCCACCACCACCACCAAATTATCTATTTGTTGATGATCATACAGCAAGAAACCTTGAAGCCCTGCTACCTGCCTTCATTTTACTGACAAAAACACAGCCCTCCGTCTTCCATTTCAGACCTGTCGCTTTCAGGTGGTCACAGACACTAAATACTGAACAGGGTCAATATCGATTCACTTCCAGACCGCATGCAACAGACAGACAAGCCAAAGGGAATCAAGCTTGCAGAGCAATGGAGGGCTCCGGACGGCTGCTGTTGGAAACACTGTAGCTGCTCCTGACTGGCCCTTAGACTGGAAAGGAGGCTAGACTTCTCTGTGGAGAAGTTCCGGTGTCAGAATGTTTCCAAGGACCACAGTAGTTTGCATAATCCTAACGGTGTTTGATG